CCAGGAGTTTCAATGTCTTGTTTAGTATCAAAAAGCCTTAGGGTTCTAGCCCAAGTATTGAGATTCAAACTTCAGGGCCTGTCTCTACCATGCTAGCCTGCTGTGAAAGACCCCAGTGTCATCCCAACAACACAGGTGTCTCAGCCCCCGACACAGTGCTCAACAAGGAGAATGAGGACAGGTGCTTGCACATTTTTATCCGCGTAACCTTACTTGTATCTCTAAATCCTCTTCTTTAGAGTTTCTTTACTAAATTTCTCAATTATAGACAAGTACGTAACTTAATTTCTTGCTTTCTTCCAGATGTCCAACAGAAGGTAAAGTACTAGTACAGGAATGAGACCTTGTGTCTCCAGACATATGAAGGGTTTTCTACTCCATAAAGCCTCTAGTTGGTAACTAGAGGTAACTAGTTGGTAACTCCACTGTACAAAGTTCTTAGATGCCTGCCTCCCTGGTCAGATTGCAGATCCAGCTGCTAAACCTATGTTTGTAATGTCACAGGATCAGACTAAAACCAAAAGAGAATTTTGATGTTCTAAGAGGTAACTCATACTTTATGCTTCTTTGTGGAATGAGGCTAAATTTGAACATGGACCAACGGAGGACACCTTGAAAGTAATTTGCTATAAGAGAAATTTGCTGTTTTCTTCAGTAGAGGGAAGTTTCACTTTGCAGACTTGGAGACAAGAGAATAACCAGGTGAGCGAAATTATCCCAGAGGAGAGAAATAGTACCTGTGTGGACTGAAACTTAAAATCTCTCAAAAAATAAATTTTCTCTTCATACCCTTTAAGAAACATAACTGATTCTGCTTTTTCCAAATAGTAAGTTCTTATAAACACACACATACATGTATATGTGTGCATGTATATATGTCCTCCATTATTAAATGAAACTGCCTGTAAGTAGCCTCATAAATCTGAAGCATAATAAGGGTGAAATAAAAATTCAAGAATGTTTGAGACAAGAGTTTGAATCACTTAATAAATATAAATCCAAACCTGAGTTTCTAGTAAATTTTGGTATATATATTCTATGAAATTCCATTTAAAAACCTGCATTCAGGTGAAAGTTCTCTAATATCAGAATTCTTATTGTCATAGTTTTTAATATACCATTAAGTACAATCTGTAGTTTTGCATTTAACTAAACTTTTCACACCAATCATATAGCAGATTCCCAACATGTTTTCAAATACGTCTCCTAAAATACAGTGGAAAATGTGACTTTTATTTACAACTGAATAAATAATTCACTGATGTGAAGTGTTTTAAGTACAACAATGTGCTACTTTAAACAAAGTAGAGAAAATATATAACCAACTGTGTCTAGTTGTTTTCACTTCTTTCAAGGTTTAGATTTCTTTTGCCCGCCTGTCTGATTTAACTTTAAAAAAAAAAATACCTTTGGAAAGTGGGAACCTTGGATACTTCAAAGTTAACCAAGATCAAAGTCAAATGAAGTCCATGGAATAAGGACCAAGCCTGAATGCAAAATGTGTCACGTTGATATTGGCTTGGAATCTCTTAGTTTATGAGTTGTACCAAAGCCTTAACCTTGGATTTCTCAAGCATCTAAGCACTGGGAGTGTTGCTTCTTCTGTATTGAATCTTTGTCTGCTGTATTTAACTCCTGACAAATACACACCTTCTATATGCAACCTCTCTTTTAACTATAGAAAGCTCATCTTTTAATCTGAATTATGCCTCCTTGAAATGCCAGCATGCTGAAAACATTGAAATTAGTTATTATATCTTTCTGTCTCTGCTTGATGAATCTTTTGAAATGACATAGCTTCTTTGAATATTTGCAGAATTCCCGTCTAGTTTTTGAATCTTCCTTACCTCTCTATAATTTCGGGGTCTGAGGATTTGGGTTACTGTTGAGTTAAAAAAAAAAAAACAAAACAGAATCATTAACATGGGAAAGGTAGTGTGGTCTGTTATTCAAAAGATGCAATGGGTGTTCTTGAATGTTCTGCTTCATTGGAGCCCTCCTCCACCACACATGTTACCAGGAAAGGCACAACGTTTTTTCCTTGAAATGGGCCATGCTGTTTCATTTGAAACGGTGTGTGCTACTGCTGGGTGTTCTGTGGTTCTGTCTCAACAACATGACTCAGAACTCACATTTAGCAGGTATCAGCCAATAGGCCCTTTGGTATCAGAGGAGGAAATAAATCACTTTCTCCAGAAACACCCATCTGTTTTGAATAGTCCTGTAGATAGACGGCTGTCTGTTTCAGCGTGTATTTAATATTAGGAAAAGCTAGTCCAAACAGTTTACTCTCTTTAAGACTAAGCAGCAAGAGGTCTTCCAGTAAATGCGCAGAACTGCATAACTTGAGAGGCCAGAAACATCCCTCGGACGCAAAACATGCTAAGAAAAAAAATACTAATAATTTCTGGGACTTTGGTGACCTCTAGCGATCCCACTAAAAACAACTCTCCAGACTTTTCTAAGAGGGTTCTCCGAAGTCAGAAACTGTTTGAATATATTTGCTTTGTCATTTTTTTTTTTACCAATTCTTTAAATAAAATAGCTGTACCTTATTTTTACAATCATTGAACAGCTATATATTCTATTAGTAAAATGCATATTTATTTTAAAATTTTATTTATTTGTTCATTTGAAAGGCAGAGTGACAGAGAGAGGAGAAACAAGAGAGAAATCTTCCATCTGTGGTTCACATTGCAAATGTTTATAACATCTGGGGCTGGGCAGGCTGAAGCAAGGATCCAGGAACTAAATCTGGGTCTCCCACATAGGCAGCAAGGACCAAAGCACTTGATCATCAGGCGCTGCCTGCCAGGTGCATTAGCAGGAAGCTGGATAGGAAGCAGAGGTGGTAGTCCATCCCAGGCACTCTCATACGGGATGTGAGTATTCCAAGCGGCAACATAACTCACTGTACCACAACAACCATAGTAAAATATTTAATAAGTAAAGGATTAAAAAATCTTTTTATTTGGTATTTTATTCTTTTCAGTCTTATTTTTATGCATTTACACACAGGTTCCTGGTAACATACAAAAGCAGGTAATTCTCCACAATATGGCCATCAGACACACAATTTTGCAACTGGTATTGAATTTTTAACAGTATGTTGTGAATATATTTCCATGTCATTAGATACTTTTCTATCACATTATTTTTACTATCCACCTAATATTTCATCATAATTTGTTCATTTTTCTATTATTTATTGGTTAGGTTGTTTTACATTTGATTTTTGCTATTCTTAGAACTACATCTTTTCATTCTCTTAGAATTACAGCTTGGAGATAGTCTTAGAAATGTATTTTTGGTTAAAATATATGGATGGAAACAGAAGTTGTTTTCAGTTTGTATTACCAAGTTGCAAGATAATTTTAAGAAAGAAATGGTCACATAGACCCAATTACAATGTCAACCCAAGAGTGTATGTAATAAGCTGGAAACACTTTGTCAGCCCATGCACAAGTATAGCCAGTACCCAGGCATTCCTGGCGGGCCCTGCATCTGAAAGGGGAACCAAGAATGAATCATATTTTCATATATGAGCTTCATAATAAATACTGTCAATTAATTTAAACTTAAACTTATGCCTCTTGAAAAAAAAGTTAGAGAATTACTAACTCCTATGGAAATTTATTCATAAGCACATATAGATACATGGTTCCCACATCAGCCACGACTTCTAATCTTACATTAAGAATCCATTCATTGGGTGGTGCTGTGGTACAGAAGCTTAAGCCACCATGTGGGGCATTTGTGTTCCATATCTGAGTATCTAGTTTGAGTCTTGGCTATTCCAAGCTTCTGATCCTGCTTCCTGATAATGAACTTGGGAAGAAATAGATGACGGTTCAACTACTTGAGTCCAGGTTACCCACATGAGAGAACTGGGTGAAGCTCTGGGCGAATGACTTCAGCCTGGCCCAGCCCTGGCTCTGGTGGGCATTTGGAAAGTGAACCACCAGATGCAGGTTCCCTTTCTCTCTTTTTCTACCTATTCCTCTGTCTCTTTGTCTCTCCCTCTCTCTCTGTCACACTGCCTTTCAAATAATTTTAAATCTTAAAAAAAAGTAGCCATTCACTAGCTATCAGCCGAAGGTTGAATAGGGAGAGTGTTTGTTAAAGACTTAGATGCTTCTCTTTGGTTTTTACATGCACTGGGTAAACTCACAGTTCTCATTTTCTTTTCATAAGATAAATAATGTTCAGATAAGTTTGCAGTAAAGGCTGTATTAATGAGCTTTTCATCACTATAATGAAATACCTGACACACTTTATAAAGTAAAGAGGTATTTTTAGCTCGTGGTTTTGGATAGTCAAAAGCTAAATTGCAGGGTACAGACTGAGTGTGTTCTGACATTTGGCTGCATCACCATGGCAGATAGCAATGGCAAGAGTGTGTATAGGAACAAATAGACCACCTCTCAACACAGAGAGAACTGAGTGGGGTTATGCTTACTCCTTTTCTTTTTCCTTTTTTTTTTTTAAGATTTATTTATTTTATTTTAAAGCAGAGTTACACAGAGACAGAAGGAGAGGCAGAAAGAGAGAGAGGTCTTCCATCCACTGATTCACTCCCCAGATGGCCGCAATGACCGGAGCTGCGCCAATCCAAAGCCAGGAAGCAGGAACTTCTTCCAGGTCTCCCACGTGGGTGCAGGGACCCAAAGACTTGAGCCATCTTCTACTGTTTTCCAGGCCATGGCAGAGAGCTGGATTGGAAGTAGAGCAGCCGGGACTCAAACCAGTGCCCATATGGAGGTGCCGGCACTGCAGGTAGTAGCTTTACCCGTTACTCCTTTTCCAACAGCCCTCTGGCAAGAATTCAAGGGGTCTTAGAACAGGCTTCTGGGAGCATGATCTCAACAGCCTAAGAACCTCCAACTAGGCCACATCTCTTGAAGGTTCTAATACTTCCCTGTACTATACCTTGGAATCAAGCCTCCAATCTCAGGAAACTCTGCAGGGAGGCGACACTTTTAAACCATATCCAAATCAGAGAAGCCGGTTGGAGGGTTTTTGGGGTTGTTGCAGTCGGAAGATTCTTCAAACAACCAATATGTCAACCAATACAGATGTTTCTCTTTCTTCATATGATGAAGATCAGGGATCCAAACTTATCCGAAGAGCTAAAGAGGCACCATTTGTCCCCATTGGAATGGCGGGGTTTGCATCGATTGTTGCATATGGACCGTACAAACTGAAGAGCAGGGGAAATATGAAAATGTCCCTTCACTTCGTCCACATGCGTATGGCAGCTCAAGGCTTTGTTGTAGGGGCAATGACTCTTGGTATGGGCTATTCCATGTATCTGGAATTCTGGGCAAAACCTAAACCTTAGAAGAGATGCTGGCTTGGCCTTGTTGGAGATGCTTCCTTTAGTTAGACATCTCATATTGAGGTTATGTGTTATACCGAAAATAAATAATTTGAGTGGGTTTAGACAATAATACATGGTATTTTGAATACGGATCTCCTCGTGACCAAATTATTAGTGACTAGTTCACTAATAGGTCCCTCGGGGAGTCAGGTTAACACAATGTCACATTTTACACCTGGTGTTAAAATGTTCTCCCTCCACCCCAACCCTTGTGATGAAATTAGCCCTAAAGAGCACAGCAGGCCAATGCTGCAGTTATTCCCAGTTTACTGCAGAGTGTCACATGCCTCATCTGTTGGCAAGGAGTCCTGTTTACCCAGTTAATTCACTTTCTTCTGCCTGCCTCATAGACTGGATGAATATTTCAGTTTTTGGGATTGGTTATCTCTTAAAGAACTCTTTTGCAAAAAGTTCATGGAATATAATTTGTAAAGCCTCCCACACCAGAATGTGTGTATGTGTGTGTGTACTTGTGTGTGTGCACAAACAAAAGGTAGCAAGCTTTTAAGACAGCTGCATAATAGTATTTATTTCAGAATCATACTTGTAAACGTGAGACTAATTTAATTATGGATTCCAGGTTAGCTCTTTTGTAAAAACTGCAGAATTGTATTTTTGCTGCTGTTATACTAGAATAATTTCTAAATGTCATCTTGAAATAGAAACATGTATTTTAACTGCTAATACAAAGGTAAATTAACACTTTTAAAAAAATAAACCATACCCAAATCAGAGTAAAAGGTGAACGGGAAGATGAGAACTACTTGAATCTGTTTTTGCAATTATCAATGGCACGTATGAATCAGAAGCCTTGGCTCCATTGCTTCATGAGTTAATACCAGTTGTTGGTGTCCATTTTCAGCAACCACTGCATAGCCCCTCCCTCCAGGAGTACATATCAAGACATCATGGGATTGTGTTGTCTGCAAAAAGCATTTCTATACCCTACCCTTCTTGATGTGAATTATAGAAAGTAAAATTCAATCAAGCTTTCTGAGTTGCTTAAAATAGGCTGGTTGGAGAAGGTGGGCAGCAGGGGTTTAAAAGATTGCCAAACCTTGACATGGAGCAATCTGTTTGTCCCAGGTCTCAGGTGAAATTGAGGGATGTACTACAAGGCCCAGTCAACTTGCCCTTGCCCACAAGTCCACAGGCCTCACCGCTGACTCCTAGTGGCTACTCCTAGCTACTCCCTGCTATTTACCAAAGACTAAATACCACAAGCAGGAGCAGGACTTTCACAGAAAGCAAGGGCTACTCAGTGTGACTATCAGCCTTCTCCCAACAGCAGAAAGATACAGATGCCACGAGACTGGCTTTGATGAGAAGATCCAGGCTGAATCTGAGCTTCCTGGTTTCCAGGTATATTCTCACCTCTGAGATTCTGAAGTGAGGATTGGTCTCTGATTATGAGTGCCTTCTGTGGCATGTGTACTGGTTATAATTATATGATTACAAGCAAAATGAGTCACTGCTGGCTGATGGAAGACAAAATAAATAAACCCAAATAGACAAAAAGAGTAGCTCAGGGAGTCCAAGACAAAAATACTAGAGGATTGTTTTTCCAGGGCCTGGAGAGGCAGAACCAGCTCAAACCACATTCTGTGTTTGAGTCCTAGTTTCAATAGGATACACATAGTCTTGCCTTCAGTTCTGCTCACTCAGGGGGAAGACCCCATGTAGAACCAAAATGATTTTTATTCACAGAACTTATGTGTATTATCAAAGTGAGACATTTATTCTGTATGGTCATTTAGGCCATAATGATGTTTTAGTCAACAGTGGTCTGTATATATGATGGTGGTACCTTAAGATTATATTGCTAGTGACATCATATCTGTCTTAGTTTTTGTAAGTACATGCCATGATGCTCATATAATGATGAAATTTCATGATGAGGGTTTTTTGTTTTTTTGTTTTGTTTTTTTTTTTTTTTTTTTACAGTCAGAATGGATAGTGAGAAAGAAAGACAAAGAGAAAGGTCTTCCTTTTCCGTTGGTTCACCACCCAAGGGCCACTGCGGCCGGAGCACCTCGCTGATCTGAAGCCAGGAGCCAGGTGCTTCTGCTGGTCTCCCATGCGGGTGCAGGGCCCAAGGACTTGGGCCATCCTCCACTGCACTCCCGGGCCACAGCAGAGAACTGGCCTGGAAGAGGAGCAACCTGGACAGAATCCAGCGCCCCGACTGGGACTAGAACCCCGTGTGCCGGTGCCACAGGTGGAGGATTAGCCTATTGAGCCACAGGGGTTTCACAGAACACATGGTTATTGTTAAGCAGTACATGACTGACTCTAAGTTCTCTCCCAGATAAGTAATGACATCAAGTAGGTGTCCTGTTGATGGTCTGCATCTTCTTAGGAAATAACTTTTAGATTCGTTCCTGGGTTCTAATGTTTTTCTTTTTTACAATAATTTGCAGAATGATTAAATGTATAAAATTTAAACAGTAAATCCCTAAATATCTACTGGAAGCTACTGACATATTACATTAGTAAAGCCTTGTTTTCTTTCTTATAACATGGTATTTTCTTGTTTATTCTTTTAAACTGTATCTGGCATCAGTTACAATGTGCATGGAAGGAAGTACATAGGAAGCATTGCTATGCAACTCATTTATTAAATCACACTAACTGGGGCCAGCGCAGTGCCTCACTTGGCTAATCCTTTGCCTGTGGCGCCGCATCCCATATAGGCACCGGGTTCTAGTCTCGGTTGCTCCTCTTCCAATCCAGCTCTCTGCTGTGGCCTGGGAAGGCAGTGGAGGATGGCCCAAGTGCTTGGTTGCCTGCACCCATGAGGGAGATCAGGAAGAATTACCTGGCCCTTCCCTGGCTCTTCTCAGATTGGTGTAGCTCCGGCTGTGGTGGCCATTTGGGGGGTGAACCAGCGCAAGGAAGACCTTTCTCTCTGTCTCTCCCTCTCACTGTCTGTAACTCTTCCTGTCAAATAAATAAAATAAAAAATCACACCAACTAATAAGAGCTGAGTCTAGTAACAATGGGAACTGGACTGAGCATTTGCAGCTGCCCTCTTCTACCATTGTTTTTATTATGAGAGACCCTTTGTCATATAAAGAAAGATGTCGGGGCAGGTGGCTGGCCTAGAGGTTAAAGTGGCATCGCACACTGGAGTGTCTGAGTTCCAGTCCTAGCTTTGGCTCCTGATTCCAGCTTCTCGCCATTGCAGTCCCCGGGGAAGCAGCAATGACAGCTCAAGTGGTTGGGTTCCTGCCACCCATGTAGAAGATTTGGATTGAGTTTCCAGGTTCTGGCTCTGGCCCCAGCCCGGCCCTGGCGATTAGGAGCATTTAGGAAGTAAATCACAGGATGGGAGCTCTCTGTCAATCTCTGTTTCTCAAATTAAAAAAAAAATTAAAGACATTAAAATTTTCAAAGAATTGTTTTTTCTCCTTGTTCCTTATATCCAGGATCTGGGTAGAATGCAAGAATGAAAAAAGGGTACTGGCTGTCTGTACTGTTGCTCGCTCTCTGGAGAAAATACAGCCCTGGTGATTTGCCTGAATCCCATAAATGAGAAACAGATTTGCATAATATGAGCTTGCTCCAAGCCACTGAAGGCCAACACCATCCTCTGGCATGTTTTTAAGGCTGAAGGATAATTGAATCCCTTCTACACTAGACAGTTAAGAAAGAAAATCAGCAGGGTTTGTCTGAGAGAGACAATTCGGGCTCACATTTCACTTCTGGGAGCGTGTAGCAGGGCTGAAGGGCATATTTAGAATTGTGCTAAACATCCTCACATGATTAATCATGCACAAAAGGGCCCCATTAGTCATTTGAAGCCAAATTATCTGTGAGGGCTCCAGCGAGTGCAGTCACTGTGGTCTTCACTCGTGTCACGGACGACTGCAAAGCCGCTTATCTCGGTCCCCAGCCAGTTCAGCTCAGCCTCACTCAACCTTGGCTTCATTCCGTTAATGGTTCCTTAATTGGACACATCAAGGCCTCTCCTAATTAAGAGCCTTTTGGTTATGAGCATTCTAAACCCACTTCAAAACAGCTTCATGGGACAAGAGAATTTATTGGAATTAATATGCCTGGGCCACCTCGTAGATCTCAGGCATCAGAAAGGGTGGGAACAGAGGGAGTTCAATGAAGTTCAGATGTCTGTTTACGTTCACCTGAGAACTCATTAACTTAGCTTCTAACCCGCAGTCTTCCACATTACTCTAGAGGAGAATTGATGGGCTCAAGGAGTGTCAGGTGGCCAGGTGTTCGCTAAGCAAGCCGGAGTCAAAATGAATGGTCCCATAATAAAATAGAGTCTACGGAGAGCCCACTCCTGAAGGGGAGGGAAGCACTCTAAGAAAATAGGTAGATTCTAGGCAAAAGGATCTCTTGGAGAGCCTTTGCTGGATGCTACAGAAACATGGAATTTAATTGAATATATAAGATCTAGGTCACTTCCATGTCTCCAGTTCCCAAGGCAGGGCTTGGAGACCCGCTAGGGCTTGCCCATTCAGCCCAAAGACACCATCCTCCTGTCTTTTCTCTGAGGCATACCTCAGAGATATTGCCACCTACTGCAATAAAGCAAGCCAGATGATTTTGTTGGCTTTCTGAAGTCTATAAAAGTTATGTTTACACTATACTGTAGTCTATTACGTGGACAATAGCATTATGTCTAAAAAAGTACATAACTTAATTTAAAATGCTTTGTTCATTACACATTGCTAATGGTCATCCAAATCTTGAGCTATTCATGTTTTTGCTGGTGGAGGCTCTTGCCTCAGTGTTCATGGTTGCTGACTGACAAGGGTGCTGGTTACTGAAGGTTGGGGAGCTGTGACCGTTTCCTAAAAGAAGACAATGAAGGTTGCTGCGTTGATTGACTTTTCTATTCATTAGCGATTTCTCTGTGGCATGTGATACAATTTGATAGTATTTTACCCACAGTAAAGCTTTCTTTTTTAAAAAAAAAAACTTATTTTATTTATTTGGAAGAGTTACAGAGAGGGGGTAGAGACAGAGAGATGTCTTCCACTTGCTCATTCATGCCCCAAATGGCCGCAATAGCTGGAGCTCAGCTGATGTGAAGCCAGGAGCCAA